TCTAGTGGAGAAACTTATACTGCATACAAACTACCTTGCACATTTTATTCTCAATACAATACTGTTTTACTTGGATTTACACCAATATAGTCCTACCAATAACTGGAATCACATTTCTCTAAATATTTATTTTGAGCAATTCCACATATATCCTATATGATTGATACATCTCATATTTACACTGTGCATGTGTATAAGGTTAATTACCTAAATTTTAAATATGATTGCTGTTAATTTATACAGCCCATGATTGGCCCACTTTGTCTGTGCCACTATACCTCTATACGGGTATGTAAAAGTATTCCCTGAGGTGATTTATACTGGGTGACCCCCAATTACAGCTTGCAATGTGGAATTATAACATACTGTGATTTTTTCGTGACGGCCTTACAATACACTCTAACACTGGCCTATTCTGCCCCATAGGTACCAACACTGTTGCTATGGAGGCTTCAAATCAAGATCAAAACTTGCAAGCAATTATTAATGCAGCTGTAGCTGCTTCACTAGAAAAGGCCCTGGCTCGGGTGCTGCCCGTTGAATCAAAAGAGCCAAAAATTCCAGAAACCCCGCATTCTGATGAAGATGCGGAGGATTCCGACTCCTCAAAAAGAAACCCTTCCAAACCCAGTAAACGTTATTGGAAAGGGAATGGGCCTGAACCACTCAAACGTAAGGGGAAAGAACCGGCGAAACGCCCTAAACAGGCGGATGTTAGAGAGAAACACTCCATCCAGCCTACTCTGTCGGAAGAGGAGGAAGACTCTTTCAACTTACACCTCTTAGCCATCCTAGATGAATGGCAAGCTGACCACTCCTCAGAAGATGAGGAAGACTGGCCCGAGACACCTTTTAAAGAAGCACCTCTCCCTCAATCTATCATGGGAGAACTCCCAACCGAAGTTACGATATCCGGATCGAATCCATCTGAGGACGCTGAATTTTTTCTAGATACACTTGGCCGGCCTCTTTTTGACCCAACGCAAATTAGATATCCCCGATCATCTGAATGGTCACTACCAGATCATCTTTCCCAGTATATTCATTACTGGATCAGGAGACCCCTAGATCGGGAGATCCGGAAAAGACTACGAGTGGAATGCCCTAGACCCGCTCTACCGGATAAGGTCGCGGTGACCCCGGAGTTTGATACGCTACTCTACACATACCTGGCCAGATCGGGCCGTGACCCAAAGAAGGGCATTGAGCGCAGCCTACGCCTAACCCAAGACAAAATGCTAGATATCCTAGGACCTCTGGCTAAAATTATTTTTCTGGCTGATGAAGCCTTATCTAATGAAGGCCCTCTAGACCCATCTGTGATTAGAGAATGGGCGCTACGCTCTATTTGCCTGCTGGGCAATGCGAATACATCCTTCTGTACTGAGCGTAGAAAAGCAGTGCTGCTGCGTATGGATGCCAAGTTAGCTGACTTGGGAACCAAAGAATTGGGCCCCAAAGCAAAGGGTCTATTGTTTGGAGAACCCTATATTAAAGAATTACATAAGCATGTAAACCTATACGCCACATTAAACAAGGCGCAGTCATCCATGAAAAGGGTGTTTCATCATCAACCCTCACGGGTTTTTGGCAGGGCTGGCCGTACAAGGGGTCGTACAGTCAGCCGTTTCTGGACCACAAACCAACGCCAGAGAACCCCAACTTCATCATTCTTCCCCAACTATCAATCAAGAGGCTCTTACACCCAAAGGGCGGATAAGGGAAGAGGATACAGATCCCGCGGACGCAACAGATACCCAACAGGTGAGATCTCCTACCTTTCACCTTTCTACTGTTTATCATGCGGGCAGGTTGTCACACTGTGTAGACATGTGGAAGACACTGTCTTCAGATACCTGGGTCCTAAACACAGTTCAGGGTTATTCCATAGAGTTTCACTCTCCCCCTTCTCAAATAGATTATCCTCACTATCCAAAAATGTCAAAGTCTCAGAGTCTTCTTCTAGATTCAGAACTACGTTCACTTCTAACAAAAGGAGCGATTCAACTCGCTCCACTAGACAAAGGTTTCCTCAGCTCCATCTTCTTAGTCAAGAAGAAATCAGGGGACTTTCGCCCAGTAATCAACCGCCGTCAACTGAACTCTTTCGTTATTTACAGACATTTCAAAATGGAAGGGATTCATCTCCTCAGAGACATTCTCCGACCAGGCGATTGGTTCACTCGTCTCGACCTAAAGGACGCTTACCTCTCGGTACCAGTACACCCATCCAGCCAGCGTTTTCTTCGCTTTCTTTGGCACCACCGGATTTTCCAATTCACCTGCCTTCCATTCGGCCTGAGTTCCGCCCCGTGGTGCTTCACCAAACTGCTCAAACCAGTCACCGCACATCTTCGAGAAAACGGCATCCGTTGTTTGATCTACCTCGACGACCTCTTGCTTCTCTGCGAAGACGCATCCAGGCTGTGTTCACAGACGAACTATACATCTGTATTGATCGAATCCTTGGGGTTTGTCATAAACCAAGAGAAATCGTCACTGTACCCATCCAGAGTTATTCAATTTCTCGGCTTCGAGATCGACTCTTCAACCTGTGTTCTTCGCCTACCTCAATCCAAGTTAACTGCGATCAGGAAGGAACTACGCAAAACACTTCATCAAGAGGATTTACCTCTCCGAGGTTTAGCTCGAATCGTAGGCCTACTTTCTGCTTCTATTCAGGCAATCTACCCAGGCCCCCTTCACTACCGGGCCATGCAATGCTTGAAAGCTCAATTCCTCCGGACTCATCCATCATACGACCAGAGGGTTCCGATCACTACGGAGGTGAGGGAGGAACTCCTTTGGTGGCTCCGCCACATGTCGGCCTGGAATGGCAAGGCAATTTTCGGTCCTACCCCGGACTATGTAGTGGAATCAGATGCGAGTCTCCAGGGTTGGGGTGCAACCTGTCATACAACCTCCACCGGAGGACCATGGACCACTTCAGAACATTTTCTCCACATCAATTGTCTGGAGTTAATCGCAGGCTCGTTCGCAATTCGCAGTTTGACCAATCATCTCTCAAACTGCTGTATTCTCCATCGGATGGACAACATCTTAGCTGTCCAATACATCAACAAATTGGGCGGGGCCAGATGCCGCATCCTCTCTGAAGTGACAAAAGACATCTACGAGTTTTGCTTCCAACGCAACATCTCACTTCGAGCGGAATATCTCCCAGGGGAATCGAACATCACCGCAGATTGGTTCTCCCGACATTGGAGAGACGGCAGCGACTGGCGCCTACACAGAACAATCTTCCTCCACATCTCCAAACTCAGGGGCCCGTTTACCCTAGACCTATTCGCCTCCCGGACAAATTTTCAAGTCCCACGGTTCTTCAGCTGGCTTCCAGACCCAGAATGTTCAGCGGTAGATGCCTTCCTTCAGAGTTGGCTGACGACGGGAGCCTATGCTTTTCCTCCATTTGCGATGATTCCCAGAGTTCTCCTTCAGATTCGCAGACAACAGGTCACACTTGTACTACTCACTCCACTCTGGCGGGGCCAAGCTTGGTTTCCAGATCTTCTGGACCTCTCCTGCCAAGAGCCCCTCCTTCTGCCTCCATGGCCCAATCTCCTAGAGGACCCTCAAGGGAACCTTCATCCAATGATAACACAAGGCCACCTCCACCTTGTAGCCTGGACTCTTTCAGGGGAACCTGGCACTTCGGAGGACTATCGCAGAGATCTAAAGAACTCCTCTGGGATTCGTGGGCCCCTGGAACTAGAAGATGCTATCTTTCCTCCTGGAACGCTTGGTGCAATTGGTGCCTGGAATGGAATACCGATCCCTTACGGCCCCTAGACAGTTCATTTTGAATTTCCTCTCTCATCTATTCGATCTAGGCCGTTCCTACAGATCCATCAATGTTTCCCGTTCAGCCATCTCGGCAGCCCATGTTCCTCTAGACGGAGTTCCGGTGGGCCAGGACCAACTGGTTTGTAGACTATTGCGGGGCATCAAACTGGCTCGCCCCCCTAAACCGAAATACTCCCATCTGTGGGACGTTAATGTCATGATTCGTTTCCTCGAGACTTGGCCGAACAACGAAGATCTATCCCTCCGTCAACTCTCAGCAAAATTCACCCTATTACTTTGCTTAGTGTCCTTCCGACGAGTGTCGGATGTTCGAGCATTTGACCATGACGCTATCAACTTTTCCCCAGAGGGTGTCACTTTCTCCGTGTCCAGACGGACAAAATCAAACTCCTCTTCTATATTTTACCCTTACTTCCCTAACCACCCGAAACTGTGTGTGGTATCTCTTCTTTCTCATTATTTGTTACTCACCTCCTCTCTTCGTCCAACTTCTTCCAGTCAACTATTGGTCTCATACGTCCGGCCACATAATCCAGTGTCAACCACAACCCTTGCCCGATGGGTTAGGTGGTTGCTGTCCCAAGCCGGGATTGAAGCCTCCTTCGGAGCCCACTCCATCAGAGGAGCGGCGGCATCGGGGGCATTCAGCACTGGAGCCTCGCTTCGAGACATTCTTCAATCCGCAGACTGGTCCCGAGAACAGACGTTCCGCAACTTCTATTTTCGTCCGGCTGTGCACGCTTCCTTGGCCCTTCTCGGGGAGCGTTAAAACAGCAAATACGAAGCCTCCTGTCATGTTATAAAATTGTAGATTATGCTAGCTTTAGTGTACCTATAATCTTAATTTTATTAATGACAGGAGGCGAGTATTTCCCACCACTTTTACTTTCGTTTTTTCCCACCCTAGGGTCGCCCCTATAGGTAAGTTTCTAAGACAAGAACGAACACACTATGCCTTACTACCATAGGGGTTAAGAGTTATTTTTCTATGATATATAGATTAACTTTTCTAGCGTGCTATAATATATGTTCCATATCAACTGGTTATCATAATTTCAAAGTCCAATTCATGGATTAATTCTTGGCTTCGACTCTGCTCTCTCGTTTCAGCGTAAATCCCCCTTCAGAGGTCAAGCCTAGTTGCTGTTTCCATCACAAGCTTCACCTCTACTCCTCATGATCTCAAGTCTATGTTCCTGTTTCCCTCTCAAGCATCACTCTTCTCGTCTGGCATCCTGAATCCCTCATCTGGTTCCTTCAGTTCCGGTTCCTATTTGTTCGCAGCCAGAAAGAGGTAATGACATCACTGGGAGGGACCTATATACCTTGTTATTCCTTTTTTCTGATTGGTTACCTTGTTACTAAGTAAAAAAGTGCTGCTGTGAAGCTTAAGTAAAGAAAGTCTTAAGCAAATACTCGCCTCCTGTCATTAATAAAATTAAGATTATAGGTACACTAAAGCTAGCATAATCTACAATTTACATCTGCATGTTGGCCATAAGCAAGTAGGAATTCATCCATGCAAGTGTGACACTCAAATGTGTGACACACCATATCTGAATATCATATAATCTCTATGACTCCTTTCTTTCCTTCTCAAGTGTGATACCACAGTTTTAAAAAAAATAGTCATGTTAGAATTTGGTAACTGATACAGTGTTCTCAATTGTATCAATATACTAATACTAATGAATGAGCTACTCCAGTCAAACTTACTGCTAAAAAATTATTTATATACTAAATGCCCCCCAAAACATTTATTTATTAGCTACAGTTTTACTTCAGTTTCCTACTGAGACCAGCTAAGTAGGAAAACTCAACTCAAAGTTGATTAGTTAAAAGTAGCCTTATACAAAAAGATAAGTCCTGCGCTCACTCCGATCACTCCTGGGCAGCAGCAATGACCACAGTACACATCAACCCCAATATATATAATTAAAAACCAAAGAAAAAAGGTTACCTGCACTCTCTCCTTAATCCCTATATATATTTAGACAAATGGAGGTCATTTAGGTATGCCAATGGCCATTGAAAGGAATGCCCGCCTGCCAACGTCAAGGCAGACCCCCCAAAGCGGGTCCTACACTGAGCTTCCTTGAGCTTCTGGCAAAGATATCTCCACTGAGACAGAGAAGGGTATTGTTTATATACACCCCAATATACTTATTAGTCCTTAATATGGAACACATGGGAGTAGCCTTAGCCTAGACAAGGAATAATCAAAAGAACTAATATGAATTATCAATCAGAAATTGCTAATTGATAAGCTCTCTTCAATAAATCTCCTGATGGACATGCATGCTTGAAATGGATGAACCTTGTGAATTATGTATTTTTCAGTCTGATTAATTGTTGAATGATAAAACAAATTATATAACAACTAACATAAGGCTATCAAGTGATTAGCCTTTTTGCATAGACATTTAATCTCTTAACACAACTCAGTGAGATTACCATTCCTTATTGAAGTGGTTTTTATTATATTAATTATTGTGCTTTACATCGACACTATTGTATCCCAAAGATAACAACATTCTAAACATACAAGCTGTGATTTGTATATAATATACCTATTTATTTCAGAATTATTAGCATACGTATGTGTAAATTTTATATATTCATTTCTCTATTCATATTCTTTTCTTGCAGCTTATCTCTTGAGTTATTCAGTGCTGTCCTGCTCAACTGTCTTTTGTCATATCAACTTGTCAAAAATTTCTTAGAAATTTCCTCTAGTCTGGCTGGTACAATGTGCTCATCACTGACAATGCTTCTCAACATCAGCATCTGATTAAATGACAAGCTTGCCTTAAGATAGAGAGAGTAAAGAATTTAGACATGGAGAAGACTAATGGAGTATATTTTAAAAAAAAACCAAAAAAACCTGAATGTATTGTTACATGCCCCTCTTAATTACATGGCTGTCAAGGAATTACATTTTTATTTCCTAGCAGTTTGATGCAACTTGGATAAATATATTGTGGTAATTAAAAAAAAAATCAGGTAATTGTGTAAATATCTTGTAATATAATTTTTAACTAAATTATTTAATATATGTGTTAAAAAAGTGTCTAATTATATACTTAAATGTCTAATTGTATAACTTACATGTTTGACTAGATGGTGCATGCATACACCATGTTACATTTGTAAATAATTTTGTTCTTTTTTTGTGTGGATTTTGCTAGTAAATATATGTTTTAACTTTAGAATATAGCTTATAGTAAATTATAATTCAGATAACGATGCTTAACTATGCCTTTCACTCACCGTTTCATTTTTTGATGCACCAGCAAACTGCTAAAACTTACGTTATTTATATATATATATATATATATATATATATTTATTTGTGTTAGGTGCTTAAGATAGTACAGTGTGAAATACCATGAATAAGCGTAAGATGGTAAAAGGAGCAGGTCGGTTGTGGTGTGCCGAAACCGACGATGAGGTAGGCCTGAGAAAGAAGAGGGCAAAAATTAAGTAATCAAATTTATTAACAGACAACCAATACATATACATTTTATCAACCAGACATGTTTATGAAAGCATCCCTTAATTCTTGTACTGGGTTCGGTATGTACCGTGAGTAAGCGGATGACTTCCAGCGCCCCAGTGTTTTGATAACATGAGTTGGGATGTTGACACTGGAGGCTGTGGACGCGGCTCCTATACGAAAGGAGTGTCCTGAGTATTTGTTTGCGTTGAGGCCCAGTTGTGTGAGCAAGGACCTGACGTAGGTCATGAAGGTTGTAGTGGTGAGTACTGCACCTTGTAGTTGTAATAACGGTTGCGAGGGCAGTAAGTGATGGTGCTGTATGTAGGCATCAAGAACCTTGACGGGACACCATCTGTTGTGAGTGGGATAGTACAGAATGTTAACAGGTATGTGCTGACTGGTTTTGGAGTGAGGTAAAGACAGGATGTAATGATCCATATGTTTTGTCAAGTGGGAATAGAGGAGGAATGGAGTGGTTTGGGTCGTGGAGGTCGTAGTGAATTCTCTAGGTCGTAGAAATCCATAGAAAGCGATGTATATTGCTGTTTTGATGATAGAATTTGTATTAGTGTCAAACAGTTTTAGGTCAAGTAGGTTAGATAATGCTTTGAAGATATGGTTATCTATGGGTAGCCTCTGGGCCAAATGTGTGGGTTCTGATTTTTGAATACCTCTGAGTATGGTCTTAATTTGGTGAGAGGCCATGCAACTGTTGTTATTTGGGTGTAAGATGAGCATGTGGTGTTGAATGCCAGTGAGATAGAGTTTGATGGTGTTGTATGACATTTTGAGTTTAAGGTGGCAAAAGGAAGCAAACCCCCAAAAAGATGTCATAACAAACGGTTGTATGATGTTATGTTCCAGAAGGAATCGTTTGAATAGTGTGAAAGCCCTGCTGTATGTTTTGTTTGTATTGTTTGAAAGTGCCAACTGGGACAATGTCCTGCTATGCTGCATGATGACTTCTAGTCCAGTATGAATTGTTGAAATGTTGGAGTGATGGTGGCTGTGGGTGCTGCTGACGGGAGTGCTTGATGAAACTCCTGAAATTTAAGACAAGACAAATTGTCAGCAGCTGTGTTATATACACCTGGAACATGGAAACAACATAGGAAGAAATTATGACAAGCTGCCAACCAGGTGAGTTTCCTCAGAAATCTCATGATCGTAAGAGATTTGGAACGACCTTTGTTGATGATGTGACAGGTTGCCTGGTTGTCTGAGTAACAACGCACTGGCGTATTAGCCCATAAATGACCCCATGCTACGGCAGCCGCCACTATGGGGTAGATCTCAAAAAGAGCTGAGGTAGTGGAAAAACCTTCCAAATCCTGAACTGCTGAAGGCCAGCTGCCCCAAAGCCATTCGTTCCCAAAAATTGCTGCAAAACCAGTGGTAGATGCCGCATCTGACCAAATGGTAGAAGATGATTCAGTCAATTGAGGGAGGAACATACTTTTACCATTCCAAGTGGTTAAAAATCTCTTCCACATGTTTAGATCTGCCGTAGCTTGGGCATCTAAGGACAACCTGTGCGTGTCATGTAGAAAAAGTGGGAAAAGATGCAATAGTCGTGAAATAAAGGAGCGGCCTTGAGGTATGATGCGCATCGCAAAATTTAGTGACCCTAGCAGGGACTGTAGCTCTTTGCGGTTGCAAGTGCCGAGCTGTAGGTAGTTGTTTATGTAAGTGAGAATATTCTCTATCTTATCGTATGGTAGGCTCGCTTGCATTGTGGCAGTGTCTAATTGGATACCCAGAAAAGTGATAACCGTGTCTGGCCCTTCTGTTTTCTTTGGGGAGATGGGTACACCTAGTTGCTCAAACAGCTTAGTGGTAGCTTTGAGGCTAGTGGGAGGTGAAGTATTCTCCTCAACCAGTAGGAAATCATCCAAGAAATGTAATACCGTAGTGCATCCGGCTATGTTCAATAGTAACCAGCATAATGCTTCAGCAAATGTGTCGAAAATAGCTGGGCTTCTTTTGGACCCAAAAGTTAACCGGGAGAAAAAATAGTAGTTCCCGGACCACTTGATGCCATGCAGGTGCCACAGTATGGGGTGGATAGGGAGTAATTTGAAGGCGTTAGTAATGTCGGTCTTACTGATCCAGGCTCCAACCCCTGCTTGTATGATAGCTGTAATAGCGTGATCTATGGTGGTGTATTGCAGAGAGAATTCCTCAGAGGGTATGAGGGAATTAAGTCTGGGGTTGGCCGATGAGTGGGGAGCCGATAAGTCAATGATGAGTCTCTGTATTTGGGAAGATTTCCCTGTGACAATACCAATAGAATTATGAATACAGTATTATTCACTAAAGTTAGAATTCAAAGTGAATTTCAAATTTCAAGAGCATAATTGCCAAACTGGAATAACCAGTTAATTTAATTTGGCCTAAATTTTTAATTCACTTGTAATTCACACTCTAGTGCATATAGCATGAATGCAGCATATTTTTGAAAGGTAAAAATGGATTTACTTTTTTTGAGATATTTTGATCAATTATATTCTTAGAATAACCTCTGTATGTATTTGTTTTTACACTCTTATTTTGTCCCATCTC